GGACAGAGCAAATAGGCCGTAACTAGAAGGCACAGTTCATGGCACTAATTAATGCTCACGTCCCTAGAACAGAGCCTTGTGTATGACCTATGGCAGTTGCTCAATAAATATATGCCTGAAAGTCTGTATATGAGCTAAAAGGCCGAAAATGTTCCTGGTGGTTGCCACTAGAAAATAATTTATTTATATTCTTTTTCCAACAGAAGACAGACAGAATTTGGTTTAACTTTCAAAAGTATATTCTAACAAGATAAGAAAATGTCTCTCTTTTGTCCTTTTAGGCTGAACTCTTGAACCCAAACACAGCTTACTCAAAGGGGGTTGATGTGATTAGTGTTAGGAGAGATTTTATGTAATGAGATTTGGTATATTACAAGCAAATTTGGATGAATATGAGTCTCGTGCAATATTTTAACATTTTAATTTATTGCTGACTCTACAGGGCAAAGGAGATCATAACCCTTAGTCCAATTTTAGGATGATGAATTGAGACTTTTTCCAAATAGGCAGAGGATAAAATACATCTTGCTTCAGACATAGTATGGCAAATTACATTTACATTTAAAGAGAGTAAATACAGTGGCGCAATCGTTGATATTTAGCTAGAATAGGAGATAGGTGTCAAATAGTGATATTTCCTAAAGCAAATGATAAATTAATTACTGAATGCCTATTCTGTGCTTTGAATTATGTGGTATAGGACAGATGCCAATAAAAGATGCTTCTCTTGGCAAGGTACTAACTTAATATCCAGTAAGAATGACAAGAAAATGAGAATAACTGGGCAGTACGTAACTCCTGGAAAAAAAGAGAAGAAAATCATTGCTAAGTAACTCAAGAAGGTGCCAGGAACATCAGTCCATATATCAATCTGATAATTAGAAATAAAGGAACACCATAAGCAAAGACTCTTAAAAACTTTAGGGCTCCTTACCTTTACTCCGATGTCAGGCTGATGTTCTAGAGAAGGGGGAGCTCAGGATGGATGGTGGAAGGACCCTTTACAGAGCACCTAAATGCCATCCAGACGGATGCAGACTCGGAAACGTCACTGGCAGGCATTATAGCTTCTAAGACAGGAAAAAGACACAAAGACAATAAAAATTCCAAGAGATTTTGGCAGTTGTAAGATTTCATGGATTTGACAGAGACCAGAGGCAGAATGGTCAATTGGGACAGTGTTTATTGGTCAAGGTTAGAACTATTACACTATTTTTATTGTTGATCTAGTTATGGTGCTGTAACTCTTTTATGAACAGTTTCTCAGTCTTTTTTATTCCTGAAATCTAGTCCAGGTCTAGTGTGGGAGTTATTTAGAACTCTAATTTAATTCTATCAGACATAGTTTCACAACATAAAGCAGTGAAAAGACCAAATGGCCACTGATTCTGGTCTTATTTAAACCATACTAACTGCACACCTGTGGCCAGTTCACAATGTCAAGGGGGCCCCCAAAATTAATTTTCTTTCTGACCTTCTAAGTTATTCTGGCTGGATTAATAATTAAATTGACATGAGAGACAGATTAGCAGGAAAAAAAATGACCAAATTTATTAGGTATGTAAATATAAGAATTCTATATGAACATGAGACCCTAGGACAGATCTGGAATTAAGCTTTATATGCCATCTTGAGCTAAAAAGAAGCATGGGGGTGTGGTTTGGTACTTGAAAGGGGAATAAGGCAACTAACATGGAGATACTAAAGCAAACGTTTGGCAAACAAAGGTTTGCAGGGAGGTCTTTGACCATGGGCCACAGAGACATCTTTGCTCAAATCAGGCCTTGCTGCCTCCTCCCTGTCAATCACCCACAAGCTCACCTTACACTGTAGTCACCTGTGATGGTAGTGCCTCCCTGGGGCACTAAAGGACCTCCTCCATCTAAGGTCCTTTAGACAGTTAGAAGGTCAATGGATTTTCCTGAGGCACTGTTTCTTAAAAATAACCAGCCAAAAATGATCAATGTCCCACAAGGCATATGTTGGGATGGCAAGTCCTGCTTGTTCTCAGTGTCCTCAGACTTCACTATTTCCCTAATGTGGAAATAAGAACACTGACCTGGATGAGCTCTAAGACCTTTTAGGCTGAGCTTTCTGCAGAGCAAAGGAGTTCATGGAAGCTTCTAAAATGTTCATGTTATCACTGAGCAGCTGAAGTACTGAGCATAGTATATAAACCATTTTAAATTTATTTTTCAGTTACAGTGGACATACAATATTATATTAGTTGGAGGTGTACAACATAGTGATTAGACATTTACATGCCTTAAACATGAACATCCCAACATTCTTAGTACCCACCTGGCACCACACATACTTACTATAATATTATTGATCATATTCCCTGTGCTGGACTTTATACCCCTGTGACCATTTTTATAGCTGGAAATCTGTTCTTCTTAATTCCTTTCCCTTTTTTCACCCATTCCCCCCAACCCAAAATATTTAGAGTATATTTTAATGCATACTGGGAAAAAATACATCTTCAACACTTAAAGTAAGGGAGAATCCTTCACCCCCCTATAAAATAGGTGGTAGGTTCATGATTACAGTATATAGGCAATTGTCTTTTCCAAGAATGTGTTAAAATGTAGAAGAAAAAGAGCATAAAATTAACCCTTGTGAATGAACACAATGTGCTGACTGTATAATTTAAATGGTTTAAATAAGCTACTTATTTGCATAATGATACTTTGGAAAGATATATCTTAAAAATAGCAGTACTGTTCATTGACTTGAAATTAAAACAAAAATAACAAGTGTAAATTAGTCTCAAAAGGATGTCACGTTACTACATAATTAGATCTATTAATAAACATGTGGGCCATCACTTATTAAGCAAAATTTGGCATAGAAATGTATTTCAAGGTAATGAATCTATATTTTCTCTTTAACAATTTTCTATTTATATTTTATAAATATAGATTAATTATCATCAGTTTAACTTCTATAATATATATGCAGCTATTTATTTTAAAATAAGTTACTCTTTAATATCACTTATCTTAATTGAAGTTTAAATTTGATCACTAAAGGGAATGAGTTGAAAGAAACATTGTATGAAATACATCAGAACACCAGAGAAACTCTGCAGATAAGGATATGTAATGTCATAACACTAAACAAATTATTACAGTGTCTAGACAGAGTCCAAAGACGTGGTGGAAAATTTTTGATAAATTGATTTTATTGAACAAAAAAAATGATTTGTTTAAGCACCATTTAGTTTTTTAAACTAGTGAAATGGTGCATAGTATGAAGTTTAGTTACTTGAAAAATTTTTGTAAAAAAGAATATTTTATCCATTCAAGTATTTTATTTTAGTCAACAAATATTTATAAGACCCAGAAAATTATTTCTGATAACCTGATCCATGTAGCACTGTTATGTCATTATCGGGGATGTTGGTGAAAATCAGATTCTTGGCATTGTCTGCACACATACAGTTCTCTGTGTATGCCTCTGAGTTCCCAGACAGTTTATTGTGCATACTGACTGTAGGAACTACTGTTCTAGAAACATTCCTCATTTGTATCCTACTGTTGGAATTTTTACATGTCATTTGAGGCTGAGAATTGGAGAGTGGAATTCTGATTTGAAAGCTGGAGAACAGGACTCTACTTGGGTATCCAGAAAGGTATAAAATTATCAGTTGTTTTATTATTTATAAGTAGCTTTTCTATCTTTCAGTTTCTGTTTGAAATTGAGAAGCATAATATTAAAATATGTCCTTGTCTATGATTAAAATCTACTTGTTCTGTACATTTCCATCATATAAAATAAAGTATTACATAGTGGCATTTTTTTTAAGTTTTCAGAACATAGATTTTCCCAGAAGTTTTTCCATAAGTTAGACTTATAAAATCATTTTATCTCTTCCATAAAATCACCAAGTTTACTTTCAAATTTTATGGAATTAATGATCCTTTTAGAGTTAAAATAAAAATTTCAAGCATGCACACATTAATTCGTAAGCAATCAGCCTCTATTAATGCTACTGCTGTTTAGGCTGAGATTGCTACCAGGAAATTCTTGGCATTACTACTGTCTTTAACATGTCAGAATATATAGCTTTTCCACTGGCTTTTGATTAAATTAAGTTTCTCCTTCACTTCCAAATATAAACAAAAATACTGCACTCACAATAAGGAATGATCTCCATTTTGCAGCTAGCAGATGATGGTAATCTCCTTGATGACAGGACATATCTTATTATCTAAGTTTGTCATGGCCTGGAGAGTTTTTGCATGTAGTGGCTTTGCAGTGTTGTGTGAACCCATGAGAGCTAGTCAAGTTTTACTGACTTACATGGCCCTGAAATAGGAGAGAATTATTCATGCTGGTCAGCTTCATGAGAACTAAGTCTCTTTTGAATAAGAATTTTATACTTAGGCTCCAGTGATTTATTGATTTTTGTCAGTGGCTTAATTCAATGATCATATCATTGCTTATATCAATACAGGAGTCTATAAAAATTGAAAACTAAGTAAGTATTCAGTTCTTGATAATCAAATGTTTTCATTCCTTAGCTTCCTGTTTGCACCAAAGGGCTTATAAAATTAGTAGAAAAATGACAGACTCTTCAATTCAAAATCCTTTTTTTTTTCTTACCAATGGTCTCCTTTTGCACTATCTAGTATTTGGACAATACCCTTTACTATATTAAACTTTGCATTTCAGAAAGGAAGGGGACCTTGCACATTTTTGCAATCAAATTTTATCATGTGTTTTTGTAATGACGGAGATTTTCTGAGTTGCCAGTTTTCTCTTGCCACTCTATTCCCTCTTGACATATTCAGAATGTCTTGGTGACTTTTAAATAAATTCCAACCTTTCTGTCCAGCAAAATTTTTAATCCTTCAGGGATTCTCAAAGTGTTAAGATTGATGGATTTGATTCTGGTAAATTCTAATTAAAATTGCTCTTATAATGAGGATGATTCATGGAAAGATGGTTTACTTATCTTTTTATGTATCTTGTCTCTCTTCCTGACTCAACAGCTCCCCCCACGGTTCGTATTGTCCATTCCGGCTTGGCCTGTAACATTGAAGAGGAGCGCTACTCTGAGAGAGTCTACACTATACGGGAAGGAGAAACCCTGGAATTGACCTGTCTGGTCACTGGACATCCACGTCCACAGGTGAGTCTGAACTGTGACATTAGGGAAAACTCTTTCAGTTTGTGTGTGTGTGTGTGTGTGTGTGTGTGTGTGTGTGTGAAATTCAGGTAGGGGGTGTAATACAGTATAAGGATGGTGACTGCTGAACATTCAACCTTGAAGTATTTGTGTGGATTTTGAAAAAACGATTTTTGGTTTAGTATGATGAGAAATTTGGAAGACATTTCTAAGAAAGGTGTTAAAGAGAATACTACAATATCTTAGTAAGATAACAATTCATATGGCAATTTGTTTATTTTAGAATGTGGAATATGACCTCAGGATGACCTGACTTTTGTTGAGGAGGCATCTATTCTGAAAACTGTGATGCACCAGGTCACATTTACTGTCCTTGCACCTAGTCATTATACCCATAGAAAATTTTGGAAAACAAATATTTGTAGGTGATATGTGCATTCAGACACTCAGAGTCATGACTTACAGCTTTGTAAAGCTAATTTAATAGCAGGCACAGATATTGACACTTTCTAAGGGCACTCAAATTAGAAACAATAAACAAAGAAGAACCTTACAGGAGTCAAAGAAAGTGTTACTATAAGATAATATGGAAAACTATGTATCTATAATGAAAAAATTTTCAGGTACAGAATATTCAGCATGTTTTGTTCATGATTTGCCAGTGTTTAATTCCATGTTTAACCTGACTAATTCAAAGCATATATTCATAATAAACACAAACACTATGACGGAAAAGTCTCATTTGGTAGACAGAGTTACATCTTATAAGTTTTTGTGTTACAGGAAAAAAAATCCAGATAACGCATACTACATAGGGAAAAGTAAAGAGCAATGTGGAAAGGGGGGGTCGAATGGTGATGGAAGGAGACTTGACTCGGGTGGTGAACGTACAATACACTGTACATCTGATTTGTTATCAAATTGTTCCCCTGAAACATGTGTCATGCCAGTAAATCCCATTAAAAAGAGCAATGTGGAGATTTCATGACCCATTGTTTTAAGCTTGTCTTTTGCTCTGACCTTCCTTAGAGCTTAATACTCAAGAATGTTATGACCCTGCCATTTTGACCCTGAAGAAAATTGAAAATAAGTATGGTAAAATACATTTTATAAAGCTCATGATGTTGATAATATGGAAAACTAAAAAAGTAACCTAGAAAAAAAAGGAAAAATTGTGTAAAATATCATAACAAAAACAACAAAAAAACTAACCTATAAAAAATGAAAAATTATTAATATATAATATATATAGCCATTCATAATGGCTAAAATTGTAAATTATAACATTTGCTGTTAACTAAAAATTGATTGAAGAATAAATTGTCTTAATAAAATTGATTTCTACAAATTTGACCCAATATAATCAGACTTGGTAGAAAAATTGCAAACCTGAACATGTAAGAGCATAAATAATAATTGTTAAAACTTGATATAGACAGAGAAGGTAACATGGAAAGGATTTTTATTTTAAAATTCATACAGAAAACAATGGAGTCCAGTGAAAACAATTTTACTAAAATTTAAAAAATAGCATTAACTTGAGAATATTATCACAAAAATTTAGTATAGTTATTATTTGATTATAAGTTCTTTGTTTATACACACACACACATATGAATTCCAGAATGAAAAAGTTGGGATCAAAATAAGAGAGCCCAAATAAATCTAAAAGAAGCCACAAGTTGCTTTATGAGAGGGAATTTATGGTAAGAGAAGACTTATTGATGCTTTCATTATTCCCACACTGAGTGTGCCTAATTCTGCATTCTGATCTCTAAATTTTACTTACAAACACAAGTTCTTATCTCTGATTTTAAGTTATCCCAGCTGTTCTGCTCCTTCTAGCTCCACCTTTATGTTCCCTTAATATTAGAAATGTCTTATTTTCCCCATACATCTTCCCTCTCATGCTAGGATGCATCTTTTGATCTCTGACTGATCTAAAATAAGTTCTGATACAAAGGAGTAGAGTATCACCTTATTCATTTTCCCTAAGCAATTCCATTTTTGGAAATGTCTCAGTGTGCTCTGAAATTCACAAAGATTTATTGTTTCAGTATTCTTATCTCTTCATTCCTAGAAGTAACTCATGTGTTTGCAGGTGAATAAGTTTCAGCACATATTGCCAGTTTGATAAATTAATTGGGCCTCTTCTTTGTCAACAAACTGTATAAGGAAGGCTGACAGAACAGCTGGGCCTCGGCAGCCCGGCCAAACACTGAAGGGCACGCTGTTGGCAGCTGGTCCCGAGGATGGTTTTTCTTGGCTGATACCATGAAGCGGGAATGGTTTTCTTGTTGCTTTGTCTAATCTGAATATGATAAGAGTTGAAAGTGCAATGGAAGAGAGATTTCTTAATCTGTTGCATGTTCCTGGAGCAATGAGAGTCACAAAGATTTCCATTTTCAGAAATATTCAAAGGCGGCATTTTTTAAATTAAAATATTTTTAAATATATTGTTTGGCAATGTATAGTGGCCTGAGGTTATTGATGAATCCAAGGGCAATGCAGGAAGTGAAGGAGAGGTCGATTCAATGCAGTAGTTAGGAGTATGATATTGGAGTCAGACTGCCTATATGGACCCCTGGGCTCTCCATGTCTATTACTGTGACTTTGGGAAAGGTGCTTAACCTCTCTGCTCTATGTGCCTCAGTTTTATCTGTATAATAAGGATGAAGGTATTTATCATATTTTATCACACACCCCTTTTGATACTTAAATGTATATTATAACTATGTATAGTTATATAATTATAATATGTGTATATATATTATGTATATTTATACATACACAATGTATATATTCACATACATACAAACTTAGCACATAATGAGCAATATATAGTCACATAATAAAACATGCTGGCTTTTATTATTTTTAGGTAATTTATGCTTAGACTCTAAGTTCGAGAATTGAATGTGTAGGTATGAAAATAAGTAGAGTTAAAAATGGTTCTTAGCATTTTTATAGTATAAATTAGAGTTATTTAAATAAATTTCAATATTTTTCATTTTAACGCTCTGCAAAGACTTCATATCCCTGTTTATTAGTTTTTGTTTTTGTTTTTTTAGCTCACAAGCACTAGAACTACTTTCAGATTACCTTGTTTAATGAGGGCTTATTAGAAAGGCACATGGGGAGTTAAAGAAAGGAAGTGTTTGCCAGTAAATTTACCAACCTAATATTACCTTTAGATGTCTGTAATTTCAGGGTTCAGCTACTCACTCTCTTTTCATTTCCTTCCTTCCTTCCTTCCTTCCTTCCTTCCTTCCTTCCTCCCTTCCTCCCTTCCTCCCTTCCTTCCTTCTTCCTTTCCTCCCTACATCCTTCCCTCTCTCCCTTCCTTTTCTCTCTTGCTCAATATTATCAAACTGAAAATAAGTACTGGTAAATTATGAATACAGTATTCTTGTAAATGACTTTAATGATAGAGTATTTGACATGAATGTTCCCCTTCACTTTCCCACCCACCTCCCAGAGATAGATATGAAGTAGTTTAGTATATCACCTTCCTGTCCTGTTTGGTGATTTTGCATGAATATAGCTATATATGTTTGTTCATGCTTTCATTTTTTAAGATTTTATTTATATATTTTTAGAGAGAGAGGAAAGGGAGAGAGAGAGAGCAGGAGGGAAACATTGATGCATGAGAAATACATGGGTTGGTTGCCTTTCCCAAGTTCCCACCTGGGGACCTGGCCTGAAACCCATGTGTGTGCCCTGACTGGGAATCCAACCAGCGACCTTCTGGTTCACAAGCCAGCACTCTGTCCATTGAGCCACACCAACCAGGGCTGTTTGTTCATTTTTTAAAAAGAATAGGTAATGAAAAGTATTACTCTATGAGCAGGATGTTTTACTTGGCCGTGTGTTCAGATGAGCAAGTACAGATCTAGCAATAGTGGTTTTCAGTGTGTGGTCCCTGGAAAGAACTTCTTAAAATGAAAATTTCTGCATTTTTATTATTTGTAAAAGGCAAACTTTTACAAATAATTTCTCAGTAGGACATTTCAAATATTTTGGACTTCTCAGGGAGAGATACTGTTTTATTGTAATGTGTATAATGTGAGGCTCTTTGAATTTGTCTTAATAAGAAACATGGGCAAGCATATTTGGGTGGACGGAAGATATTGACCTTTCCTTCTCTCTCTCTTTTTCTTAAGATTTTATTGATTTATTTTTAGAGAGAGGGGAAGGGAAGGAGAAAGAGAGGAAGAGAAATATCAATGTGTTGCCTCTCACATGCCCCCTACTGGGGACTTGACCCACAACCCAGGCACGTGCCCTGACTGGGAATTGAACCCACGACCCTTTGTTTCACAGCCTGGGCTCAATTCATTGAGCTACACCAGCCAAGGCCTTTCCTCCTCTTTAAAACGAAACAAAACAAAGGAAAATAAAAGTGCATCAATCAAAACAGCTCCACTTTCATGAGTTGGCTTTCTGGATAAGATTTTATCTGAATAAAATATTTCATCACTAAAATATTTTTGAAAACCACTCTTTAAAAATATATATGTATATCCAAACACTAATCTAAGAAGCATTAAAACTGTATACTAGTTTATTATAGTTCATCCCTATGGAGTATTTGCTTTTTGGATAAAAAAAATAAGACCAGTCACAAGTCCATTTTTCAATTTTATAATAGGATCATATTCAGTCATTTAATTGCTGTATAAATATGTCCTTGACTGTCAGGACTATTGTAGAGTTATTGATCTTTCTATTCTTATTAATTTTCTATGCCAATTCTAAAGTGATAATCATATAATGAAGATTTTTGCAAACTTTGGTAACAAGTTCTTTAGTCTGGAACCATTACTACTAGCTATACATTGTACTTTGCAAATATTTTATATATCTTGCTTCATATTTTTGTTTTTTCTAGTTCAGCTATTAAATTTTTAAAAATACTATTACTGCATGCACATGAAAAATAAACATTAGATTTATGTTCAATTAAATGGGCAGAATTAGGGTACACTATCTAATCAGAGATA